AGGTGAGAAGACTACGGGTAACAGGGGATTTAGGTGAGAAGACTACGGGTAACAGGGGATTTAGGTGAGAAGACTACGAGTAACAGGGATTTAGGTGAGAAGACTACGAGTAACAGGGGATTTAGGTGAGAAGACTACGAGTAACAGGGGATTTAGGTGAGAAGACTACGGGTCACAGGGGATTTAGGTGAGAAGACTAGGAGTAACAGGGGATTTAGGTGAGAAGACTACGGGTAACAGGGGATTTAGGTGAGACGACTACGAGTAACAGGGGATTTAGGTGAGACGACTACGAGTAACAGGGGATTTAGGTGAGAAGACTACGAGTAACAGGGATTTAGGTGAGAGGACTACGAGTAACAGGGATTTAGGTGAGAAGACTACGAGTAACAGGGGATTTAGGTGAGAAGACTACGGGTAACAGGGGATTTAGGTGAGAAGACTACGGGTAACAGGGGATTTAGGTGAGAAGACTACGGGTAACAGGGGATTTAGGTGAGAAAACTACGAGTAACAGGGGATTTAGGTGAGACGACTACGGGTAACAGGGGATTTAGGTGAGAAGACTACGAGTAACAGGGGATTTAGGTGAGAGGACTACGGGTAACAGGGGATTTAGGTGAGAAGACTACGGGTAACAGGGGATTTAGGTGAGAAGACTAGGAGTAACAGGGGATTTAGGTGAGAAGACTAGGAGTAACAGGGGATTTAGGTGAGAAGACTACGAGTAACAGGGGATTTAGGTGAGAAGACTACGGGTAACAGGGGATTTAGGTGAGAAGACTACGGGTAACAGGGGATTTAGGACCTATGAATACTCTATAGGGCTAGGGGCGTAGGAGGGGGTTGTGGGTTGTGGAAGTGGTACGACCGAAGGTCGGCGCGGTCCAAGGCCGTTTTGGAGGGGGAGGGGGTCCGGGGGCCGACCGCCGGGAAAATTTTGTAAAAAATAGGGCTGAAACGAATGCTCAATGAAGCGAACGAATATTCTTTTTCCGAATACATGCGAAACGAAGAATATTCCGAATATTCTAAACCGTGCAATTTCCATGGATACCTAGTTTTATCCATGGTAACCATAGACCATTAATTGGCATACACCCCAATTACAAGAGAGACATTTGAAAAATCATGTGTCTTGCTGATTATAGCACATCGAAAAAGGCAAGCCTACTTATATTTTGCACCAAATAACCTTGATCGATGTCAAAAAGGCGAGTTTCTGTACATTTACGAATATTCCTATTCTACTTTAACGAAGATTATTCTTTTTCCGCTTTGCATATTTCGAATATTCGAATAATTCGAATATTCCTTTCAGCCCTAGTAAAAAAGACACAAAATCCTGCGTTTTGGGACTATATAGTGTGCAGTCGAGTGGAGTACAGTACTCATAATATCAGTACAACTACAGATGCATGGCAGATCTACGACTACAGATGCATGGCAGATCTACGACTACAGATGCATGGCAGATCTACGAGTTCAGATGCATGGCAGATCTACGAGTACAGATGCATGGCAGATCTACGAGTACAGATGCATGGCAGATCTACGAGTACAGATGCATGGCAGATCTACGACTACAGATGCATGGCAGATCTACGACTGCAGATGCATGGCAGATCTACGACTACAGATGCATGGCAGATCTACGACTACAGATGCATGGCAGATCTACGAGTACAGATGCATGGCAGATCTACGACTACAGATGCATGGCAGATCTACGACTACAGATGCATGGCAGATCTACGAGTACAGATGCATGGCAGATCTACGACTACAGATGCATGGCAGATCTACGACTACAGATGCATGGCAGATCTACGACTACAGATGCATGGCAGATCTACGAGTACAGATGCATGGCAGATCTACGACTACAGATGCATGGCAGATCTACGACTGCAGATGCATGGCAGATCTACGAGTACAGATGCATGGCAGATCTACGACTACAGAAGCATGGCAGATCTACGGATACAGATGCATGGCAGATCTACGAGTACAGATGCATGGCAGATCTACGACTACAGATGCACGGCAGATCTACGACTACAGATGCATGGCAGATCTAGGACTACAGATGCATGGCAGATCTACGAGTACAGATGCATGGCAGATCTACGACTACAGATGCATGGCAGATCTACGACTGCAGATGCATGGCAGATCTACGAGTACAGATGCATGGCAGATCTACGACTACAGACGCATGGCAGATCTACGACTACAGATGCATGGCAGATCTACGAGTACAGATGCATGGCAGATCTACGACTACAGATGCATGGCAGATCTACGACTACAGATGCATGGCAGATCTACGACTACAGATGCATGGCAGATCTACGAGTACAGATGCATGGCAGATCTACGACTACAGATGCATGGCAGATCTACGACTACAGATGCATGGCAGATCTACGACTACAGATGCATGGCAGATCTACGACTGCAGATGCATGACAGATCTACGAGTACGAGTCTAGAAAAAGGTCAAAGTCTGATGCGCATATACATCGATAGATCCTGATTTTTTTATTACGGTTTTGCACGTTCCGGACGTACCACACTTTTCTCGAAAAGTGGTACGGCCATGGTCGTACCAGTCATAGCAGGTCCTACGCCCCTGAGGGTGCTACGCCCCTGAGGGTGCTGGACACCATATAGCTCATGAATTGTCTACTGAGTCCAACATATACCGCATTTCCCCCATTATAAGTCGCACTTGATTGCAAGTCACACCCCCCCCCCCATTTTCAGGTTCAAGATATCGGTTCAGTAGACTCACATAGGTAAGCAGCATGTCACACTCGAGTGTACGTCGCATCCCCTTCTTCGCCACTGAAGTTCTGTGGGGAAAGGTGCCACCTAACGTTATTATCAGCCTTTTCGCGTTGGCTAGTCTTCACTTAGGCCAAATGGAATGAAGAATGAGGAACGAGCGGGGGTCAATGAGGTGCTAATACGCATGCAACAGCAGGATAGGTTAGAAAGAAAAATTATAATCAAACCAGTCTTAAAACACACGAACTGTCAACTATCTACTTCAACAATTTAAAAATTCGAAAACTGCTGAGTACTACATGTACTTCAGTATCATAAGTATACTGTACTGTAAGTATACTTACAGTATACTTACAGTATACTGTAAGTATACTGTAAGTATCGGATACCAAGAGTATATAACCCCCCAAGAGTGTGCAACTCTGCATATGGGGTCTCCGACGGCGAAAACTCACATCACGGGTCTCAGATACGTTTGTACTACACTCAGACCTTGCTTAACCGCACACATCTGTTTTCCAGAAAAATATCCGGATAGGCGAGGGAACCGGATAACTGAACACACATGCTGTATAATGCATGTGGCATGTCAAAAGCAGTGACATCGTGCATACATGTAGACGGGTCCTATGCAGTACAACTAGCGTGCACAGTATGTAAAACAAGCGAGAAAAATGACAAGTGCATGCAACTGAGTGCTGTCCGCATGCACCCAGCAGGTCAAGGACCTCATTTGCTTGTACAACTCCCTGATTCTAGCTTCTGCAAGCCACATGCAACCGGATACGACGAAGCTTTTTGTACACATTTTAACCAGTTTGTACACAAAATCATGCACCGGTATGCGGATCGCGAGGTCCGGTTATGTTGTATGCATAACATATGCTGCACATCGGTAACCAGCGATTTTCTTCCGGATGGCGAGGGATCCGGATAAACAAGGACCGGATAAGCGAGGTCTGACTGTACGTACAAACGAAGGATAGCGTGCGCGCAATACGAATATCTGCCATGATCATGCTGGGGATTTGCATACCCGCAGTGAGTTTCTGTCAGAGAGTGCTTTTTTTATTACTCCGCTGCTCGCTAAAAAAACGGGCTGGAAACGTACAACTGCGACACTGCACCACGTGATGTGAGGTTTCGCCATCGGCGTACCCCATAGACAGGGTACCAGGAGTTGCACACTCTTGGGGGGTTATATACTCTTGATGATACATGTACAGATACTAGACGTACATGTATGTCACTTGGTATTAGATAAACCTTGTTTTAGTTAACATATTATGTTGATAGTTTGAGAGTATGACAGTGTTTGAGAGTATGACAGTGTTTGAGAGTATGACAGTGTTTGAGAGTATGATAGTGTTTGAGAGTATGATAGTATGATAGTATGATAGTGTTTGAGAGTATGAAAGAAGGTGGACCGTGTGGGTGGTTGTAGAATGGTCGCTGTTTCCGAACACGGTGTTCTCCACCTTGTTTCACGCTGTCAAACTATCAACATGTATGTTGCATGTACAGTAAAACCTGGTGTAAGCGACCTCCCGTTTTAGCGACCACCTGCTCTTAACGACCGTTTTCCATGCACAGACAGTTCCACACAGACACTGTGGGACCTGGTTCTAAAGACCATCTGGCTTTAACGACCGATTTTCCTTGCACCGTGGGGTGGTCGCTTAATAATCCGGATGCCCGTGATTCGGGCACGTCCTTCTACTGGGCCGATGGGCACCTTTCTGACCCATCTAGAGTCACAACAATCTGCTTCCCAACGAAAAACGGACCAGGAAACTATTGATTGGCATAAATTACGTTTTACTCGAATGCAGCATAAATAGTGCATGTTTGTTTTGTGGGTTACGGGCAATTCCTAATTACGGGCAGTGCCCGGCCCCGACCTGCCCAGGATAGGGGAGTTTTACTGTACCGGGTACAGGCATACCGGGTACATGCACAATATGCAGTTTGCATGAAACTTGGTAAAACCATTCATGCAACCCAAAGTTTTTGGTGCCGTTTTCAACTTTTCATTGACTGACAGTAAACTAACTTTTGCTATTATCTACTTTCTAGAGGGTTTGAAGGATGTAGGGTGGTCGGATGTGGGGAGTCCGCATGAGGAGAGCTTTACTGTGAATAGAACCACTGTGAATAGAACCAGAAGCACATTGAAGTAATTGTGTGCAGAGTTCACTGAGACTTACTTCGGCCATCTTTTCTCGGCAGTACTTCGGGTTGAGCACGGCTTCCGTGTATAGAACACTCCTCGCGCTCAAGGAATCTTCAGACAGGTTCAAGCCACGAAACAGCATATGATCCAGTAGCTGCAGTGAACGGGAGATACAGCAGATTCGGGTGAATGGATTGGGGGGGGGGGGGGGGTTGGGCAGAAGCCATACCAGTGGCGTCTCAGTATATGCACTGTTACCAGAGTGCCGGGCCAGACAAGCTGCTTTAGGCCAGACAAGCTGCTTTAGGCCAGACAAGATGCTTTACTTGGAAATTCCTACTCAGCCAATTGCCCAGTTCTCCCTATTGACCCGGGTGGCATTGGACCCACATCCGTCACTGGAAAGGCCGTCAAATTCTGTCCTATGCACATCCGTGCTTGAGCAACGTGAGCATGAGCGCGGTGCTGTACTCCTACAAGTATTTGTGTAGTCCCTAACCCCGGTATATGCCCTAACCCCGGCATACCCCGGCATATGCCGTTCATATGGTCGCAAGACTGGGACTCTACCAACCGGTCTCTGGTTGCAATCAGAAACACTGGTTTTCAAACAGTGTGTGTCCTCCATCCTGTTGTGCTATGCCTTCGTCATCATCATCATGTACAATTCATGTACATGTGAGCGATGCAATACAGATGTAAATATTACTTACGCTCGTTGGAGCCCGCAGATAGCTGCGCATGCAGATAATTGAAATTAAAGTTCTGCAAAACTAACTTGGGGGGGGGGGGGCTTTAGCCTACTTTTAGCGCCCAACAACCCCCCCCCCCCACACACACACACCACCCCGCTTCCGGACCGCAGGGCATGTCGCAGCATCGCCACCGTGAACCGTGGCGAACCCGTCCTCGGCTAGGAGAGGTTCACCTGCGCTATGCACACTACATACATTGCACAGTCTCCAGGAGAAGCAGCAAGAAGGGCTTGCAGCCAAACGCATACCGTCTGCATGTCGTCCCAGTCAGTAACGATACCGCGCTGGATGGGAAAACTGAGTGAAAGGGACTCGCGCCTCCGAACTGCTTCATCGCCTATGTATGTGTCCTCAGTCTTGCGGATTGGTGGTGAAGTTGCCGATTCATTCGATTTGTGGGAGAGCCGCGATCGCCCCAGCACCGACTCATTGTAGTAGCGAGGCGAACCATCACCGGCAAATCCACAGCGCCATCTGATCGAACCTAAATCAAGTACCAATCCGTCGATTTCCTCGCTGCTATCCGCCATCGCCGGTGCTGGTGCTCACCAGTTCACTCCTCGGCCGCTTTCGGACAAACTAACAGTAAGATACTGTAGAGTGTATTGTAATAATTATTTGTAGTATAGGATTTGGAAGACTGGTAAAAATGATCATAGTCTTTGACCATGTTGACAGCCCGCTCGGAAAAAGCAGCATGATTGTACGGTGTCATGACTGTATAAGTACGGTGTCATGACTGTATACTTCATGAAGCCTACTACTTTTATATTTTTTTATTCAAACAATACGACATTGATCGAAAGAAAGAAGAATACCAAAGATACACGGGATGAAACTCAGCGATGAAATCAAAATGAAAATTTGAAATAGTCTAAATCCACAGAAACTCTAGGCAGATGTATCAAAGTTGTGTAAAACTGAGATTCAACTCAATCTGGCTTTAAAGGGGAAGTTAAGGCAAAAATTAAAATTTCACCAGTTGTAGTCTTCGGGGTGCTGAGTCGAATGGTCTTGGTCCGAGAAAGCTGAGACGCTCCCTTCCTACTTGAATCCCAATCGAACTCGCGCACTTCCACCGAAACTGGGTGACTGCGCCCTACGAGATGGGGATTTGTATGCAAAATGTCACTATAAGCGCCATTTCGTTCTTATAAAAGCACGGATGACCGCGATTGGCCCATATGTTGTAGTCTTTTGGACGCTGAGTCGACTGGTTTTGGTCCGAAAAGGCTGCGATGCAGCGTTCCTCCTTTATTCCCAATCGAACATGGTTGAAGAAGCGGTCACGTGCTCCTGCGTACACCAGTCACCTGGTCACCGTGCCTGCAGGGTACAACTTACTAGCCTGTTTGACCTTTTTTGGGTGCACTCCTGTCACTCGAGTTGAACCTTGGTGTGAAATTTGTCGCCTGCTGGCGTGGTGACAAGGTGATTTGGGCACCCAGGAGCACGTGACCGCTTGTTCAACCATGTTCGATTGGGAATAAAGGAGGAACGCTGCATCGCAGCCTTTTCGGACCAAAACCAGTCGACTCAGCGTCCAAAAGACTACAACATATGGGCCAATCGCGGTCATCCGTGCTTTTATAAGAACGAAATGGCGCTTTTAGTGACATTTTGCATACAAATCCCCATCTAGTAGGGCGCAGTCACCCAGTTTCGGTGGAAGTGCGCGAGTTCGATTGGGATTCAAGTAGCAAGGGAGCGTCTCAGCTTTCTCGGACCAAGACCATTCGACTCAGCACCCCGAAGACTACAACTGGTGAAATTTTAATTTTTGCCTTAACTTCCCCTTTAACGAATGCTTTGAAAGATGTAAAGTGTGTATGAATGATTCACGCTGAGACTTTGGCACGCCGAGAACAACAAAAATATAAATAAAATAGAAGTAAAAAGGAAAAGAATACAAAACACACAGTAATCCAGAAAAACAAAAGCAGCTACTACTAGTACACAAAGTCACAATCCGACCAACAGCAAAAAAAGACGGAGAATGGAAAACAAGGCCTGCCACAATTATTATTAAACTCAATCTCGTAGCATGTGCACGCATTGCTAATGTGGGGAGCAACCCCAGAGATGAGGGCGATAACCAGCCGTGGTAAAAGTACAAAAGAAAACAAGAAAACAGTGGAAAGAAAGGAACAGGGAGGAAAACAAAGCTCAGCCAAGAAAGGAACAGGGAGGAAAACAAAGCTCAGCCAATTAAGTGAGATAGCCGGAAATTACATTGTTTAGCTAAACACGCGTGAGTGCTGCAGGAAAACGCAACTCAGTACAAACAACTTGGCGAAACTTAGACATGCTGTGGCAGTGGTGGGCGAGGCTTGATAGCTTGAGCCAGTCAGAATGGGAATGAAACAAAGGGGATTTTGTAAACTGGACAGTGCGAGCTGCAGGTAGCGAGACTTGTGCCCTTGTTGAACGGCTCCGCACAAACCAGTCATAGGGAAAAAGATGCCTTGGTACTTTCTCGAGTTTTATCTTTTGAATTAGCATGTTGCTGTGGAGACTGCATCGAATAGAAAGGGGGCAAACACGAGCGAGAACATAGAGTTGTGCAGAGGATAAATCACGGGGCAAGCAAAATAGCATTTTAAATAATTTTCGTTGGCAAACTTCGAGCTTGTCTGATATCGTGGTTGATAACCCACACCACGCTACGTCACAGTAGTCGAAGATCGGACAAATATACAAAGAGAAAAACAGAGATCTACAGTCGTGAGGCAGATAACGGCAGTGAGGCTTCAGAGTTCCTACAATTCTGGATGCTTTAAGGCAAATACGGTCAGCATGTTCGGACCATGATAGCTTCGAGTCAAGAACGATTCCCAGGTGCCTGTGAGAAGTTACAACTTCCAGGGCCTGGGTGCAGTTCGGAAACGTCAACGGTGCAGATGGTGGACGTGCAGAAATATACAACACTTTTGTCTTCTGGACATTGGGCTGTAGCTTCCAGATCTTCATCCAGTTTACCACGTCATCGATGCCCTGCTGGAGCGATACCGTTAGCTCGTACAAATCGCACACAAGCAACCCAAACTACTGTAAATATACAAATTTTCGGCAGCTATTTAATTTCGGCTATATTCGGCCACAATTTCCCAAATAACTGTGGGTCGCAGCACGGCTGGAAAAATTCCTTCCGCTTCCAAGCAGGACTTGAACCTGGTACCCTCTGTTTCTCAATCATGGTCTTAGACCAACCCACTATGCCTGCCTGCACGAGGTTAACATGGATGCAGCTAATGGGATTTCGGTCTTTGACCACTTGGTGGTGGGTCTGATCTACTCACCTCCCACCGTTTAGGCGCTGCATCTGCGCCTTTGATCCTTGAGGGTGGTGGCGTTCCCATGACGGATGCGGAAAACTGGGCTTCCAGCCGAGTCTCACGCGAACCGTGATTTTTTTTATATTCGGCACCGAACCAAAACGCCTAAATAATTAAAACGCCGATGAAATTTTTCACAGCATCTGTCGCACTATACCATGCCCTCTACCCCAACGCCGAAAATAAATCGCCGCCGAAATGTCAAAAATCGTGAAGTGCCGAAATTTTGCAGCGCCTAAATTTTGTATATTTACAGTACATGACATTGTACTACTACAGTACAGCTCAATGAAATCCAGTCACAGCGTCACTCAAGTACACGCCGCCGGGTGTTGCGCAGCCATAGACCTGCGAACACTGGGCTGCAAAATGGTGCAAGGTGCAAACTTGAGTGACGCGGCTGGATTTCATTGAGCGGGACTGTACTACTACTACTACTACTACTACTACTACTGCATTGTAGTACAAAGTCATGTACTAGACTGATAAGCCTTGCCGCCCCAGCCCCAGCCGCCGCCCCGACTGTGACGGCCTTGTATTATAAGGTGGAGGATCGCATTGTGTTGAAAACGTGTTGGAAACAGTGCTCCTAATACAAGTACAGTACAACCATCATATCCGTTGACACAGTGCCTCCTCCGCATCATTGTTAATTTTGTTATTCAACCAAACAAGGCTAACCTATACTGGTTGTCATGTGTAGACAAGGCCATCGCTTTTCCTTACAACCCGGCTAGATTTTTCACAATATTTTTTCGGTAAATCCAGTACAGTACGTTTATGTCTCAGTCGTGGTACTAGTATCAGGGAGTTTTGAAGTCATGAATAGTCGGTGAAATGTTTTGTCTGCAGTCCAAAGAAAGGGAGTTCGTCCAGTTACAAATTCCGTTATACCGGTATTTAGACTATAATGTACTGAAAAGCTGGACAAAGTGATGTTCTGAGCAATGAGGTCCACGACTGATTGCCGCAAATTAGTTCACAAACCACAGCTCACAGGATTACACTACCTCGAACAATGATTCACAATACATGTACAACATTTTACAGAAAAGCATGCCTCGCCGAAAGAGACCAAAGCCATATTCACAGAAAGGTTCTCACACCGAAAGATATTTTCACAGCTGCATCTTTGACAGAATGATGAGTTCACGGCCCCAGCACAGAAAACCATCCATTATCACAGCTCAGAATTGTATCGTGTATGATGCCGCGCATGGAAATGCAATAATGTGATGGAAAGTCATTCCGATTTCGGAACAAACTGAAGTTGAACTTGATCTCAGTCCACCACACTGTACTTCGTACTGTTACATCATCCAGTTGGCAAAAGAATTCTACAGTGGAAGCAAGAGTACACTCCCCCCCCCCCCCCCCCCCCCGTGCAGTGCCTGGCAAATTTCAAGTGCTTGCACGGTGCAATGCGCAGTGAATATGTTTTCAACTTGAGATATTCAGTATACAATTATTGGCCAGTACAAGGAACAATGAGGGTGACAAGCCAACCACGGGAAGAAGAAAAAGAAGAAGAAGAAAGAAAAGAGATAAGAGTTGATTACAGCGAGACAGTGGTCAGCCTATTTAACATAACACCGTGCATTCTTAAAGGGGAAGTTAAGGCAAAAATTAAAATTTCACCAGTTGTAGTCTTCGGGGTGCTGAGTCGAATGGTCTTGGTCCGAGGAAGCTGAGACGCTCCCTTCCTACTTGAATCCCAATCGAACTCGCGCACTTCCACCGAAACTGGGTGACTGCGCCCTACTAGATGGGGATTTGTATGCAAAATGTCACTAAAAGCGCCATTTCGTTCTTATAAAAGCACGGATGACCGCGATTGGCCCATATGTTGTAGTCTTTTGGACGCTGAGTCGACTGGTTTTGGTCCGAAAAGGCTGCGATGCAGCGTTCCTCCTTTATTCCCAATCGAACATGGTTGAAGAAGTGGTCACGTGGTCCTGGGTGCCAAAATCACCTGGTCACCACGCCAGCAGGTGACAACTTTCACACCAAGGTTCAACTCGGGTTCAACTCGAGTGACAGGACTGCACCCAAAAAAGGTCAAACAGGCTAGTAAGTTGTACCCTGCATGCACGGTGACCAGGTGACTGGCGTACGCAGGAGCACGTGACCGCTTCTTCAACCATGTTCGATTGGGAATAAAGGAGGAACGCTGCATCGCAGCCTTTTCGGACCAAAACCAGTCGACTCAGCGTCCAAAAGACTACAACATATGGGCCAATCGCGGTCATCCGTGCTTTTATAAGAACGAAATGGCGCTTTTAGTGACATTTTGCATACAAATCCCCATCTAGTAGGGCGCAGTCACCCAGTTTCGGTGGAAGTGCGCGAGTTCGATTGGGATTCAAGTAGGAAGGGAGCGTCTCAGCTTCCTCGGACCACGACCATTCGACTCAGCACCCCGAAGACTACAACTGGTGAAATTTTAATTTTTGCCTTAACTTCCCCTTTAATATCTGAGATAGAAGTTGCAGTGTTGCGTAGGTTACTGCATAAGGAAGGGAGAGCCAATGAGAGTAGGCAAGAAACAGGGGAGATCGGAGAAGAACAGATAAACGAGGGACGGGACCTGGTTACGGGCATTTCGACTGCGGTGGAACCAATCATACTTTTTTTAGGTGGTTCGGGATTTCAAGAAGGAATATTTTGTGTGTAAGCAGGCAAAAGTGGTCGTGGCGGCGGGTGGATAGGGGGCATGCAGGAACTGAAGTATACAATACAGCGCTACCGTAAAAGTCCGTGTATAGGCCCCGGGCGTATAGAATAGCAGCCTCGATTTCCTGGGCGTATACCGTATTTTCCGGGGTATAAGCCGCACTCTTTTTCGCTAAAAATCGGACCAAAATCGCCCCTGCGGCTTATACACCGAATATGCTTGCGCGAATGAATGCTTAGCATACATCAGTATGCAGTGCTGACGTCATGTGACATGTCATTCGACTCAGCTTCGCGCCTGTGTTGCTATCCCGGCACTTTTACTAGTTCTAGTGCGCGGGCTACACCATACGGTACGCGTATACGGGGACTCTATTTTTCATAATCTGATCTAACATGGTATTTAGCTCCATAACCATAATAAAGTTGTAGAAAGGCCATTTGTCAATGAGTGTGAAAAATCTTGGTTTGTGGGTGCGGCTTATACTCCGAATACCAACTTTTAGTCAATATTTTGCCTCAAAAAAGGGGGGGGGGTGCGGCTTATACCCCGGAAAATACGGTACAGGTCTACTCTCCATATAACGTAATCTCTGGGACCACGCAAAAATTATGTTATATCGAGAGTTGTTATGTAGAAAACCGTGTGTAAAATACAAGATGTACCTCAAAATGAAGGCTTTTACAAGATGGGTTTAACCGTGCAAACATATACACACTGTACCACCATCGACATCAGATACTATCAATGCCGCAGAATTTATGCACAATAGGACTACACTGGCTAGCTACGGCTACAGCTTGATCGTACCGCACACGTGAATCTACGTTATATCGAGAGTGCGCACGTCGTGGACCGCGCCACAGGGTGCGTTATGCCGAGGTTTACGTTATGTAGGACTAAACTGGCCTAAACTGCCTAGCAACAGCTACCGCTTGATCGTACCGTGCACGTGAATTTATGTTGTATCGAGAGTGCGCACACCGGGGGCCGCGCCGTAGCGTGTGTTATGTCGAGGTTTATGTTATGTAGGATTATGTTGTGTAGAACAAAATTTGTACGGGAGTGATGCTGTTTCGGCGCGGGATTTGATTTTTTTACTTACTAGCGAGGTTATGTACAAGTGAGAGTTGTTATATCGAGAGCAGACCTGTACTTGGAATAGGGATAGCAGTAAGTATTGGGTATCAGTACCTGTACATGTACTGGTGTTTCCGGCATACCTGGGCGTATACATGGGCATGGGTGCTATTTTGAAACAAAAGTGTTGACTTCCCCTGACTGGGCGTGTACACGGAGGGTGGGCGTAATTTCGAGTGGGCGTATACAGGGGCTTTTACGGTATTGGTATTGCGACCAACCAAAGAGACGTTTAACTCACAGATCCGCAATTTTCCACCACATGCACATGCGCGGGCGTGATCCAGCCAGCTTTCTTCTTTGATTTTGTGCTGGTCGCAGATCCTTTTGCAACCTAGATTTGCTTCTTCTCGCTCTCTCTTCGAAAGAATGTTCCACTTTCAGTCTTTTGATCATTTTCGACCAGTATTGCCATGTAGGCCACTGACGTCAAGTTGCTGTTGACAGTACATGGATTGTCTAACATGGAATAGGAGTTTGAGAGGCATAATTATACTCTTGGCAGAAGCCATTGTGCCGATATTGCACCTAAAGAATTGGCCACCACTATTTAGTACCACCCAGCTTTTCAGAGTGCTTCTCAGAGTCTTTTTCTACCTCTCGCACCCATATACATGTACCCACGCCTACACAACCCCCCCCCCCCCCAAGCATCTCTCTCTCTCTCTCTCTCCCCGTAGCTCTCTTTCCTTTGAAATTCGCTTCAATAGCACCATTGCCCGTTTGGCCTTGCGAAGTAAAATAAAAATCAACAAGCAGGGGAGTACCGTAAAGTACCGTTGACCCCACGCCGTGTCGCTTCTCAGCTGGTTTTTCGGCAGGGGGCGGGAAATATATCAAGTCGTTCAAGTGCAGTATGATGTACAACAAAGCAGAAGATCAGACCTGGCATGCTGGATTGTGCACAGCTTCATCATGCACTCGCACTTATTGTGTACAGCAGTACATGCGTCGGTTCAACATCGTATTTCGTTGTATACACCGAAGTCGCTTCACAGGCAGAAAATTGACAGGGGCGGGAATTTGAGCGGGGGCGGATCAACGGTACTTTACGGTCGTAAAATGCGGTACTTTACTACTCCCTGCCCCAAGCCCACCCACACACATCACCAATTTACACCTAGTACAAGTGGTGGTTGGAAGGTGTTGTTAGTAAAGTTACCAATGCTAAAAACAAGTCACATCGCCACAAGGATGTGAGTACAAACATACTCAACGCCAGCTTCTACCACTATCTGTTTGTCCAGCTGCTGCACCGCCTCTCCAGCCGGAGTCACGTCTTCCTTCATCACGACGCATATCATCACGTCTTCCTTCGTCACGACGCATATCATCACGACGCCCACCGTCACGCCAGCCAGAGTCACGACCTCCTTCATCGCGGCGCATATCATCACGGCGCATATCGTCACGTCGACCACCATCACGCCAGCCGGAGTCACGCCTTCCTTCGTCGCGACGCACATCGTCTCGTCGACCACCATCACGCCAGCCGGCATCACGCTGTCCTCCGTCACGTTGACCACCGTCACCACCACGCCAGCCATCGTCACGGCGTGGACCGTCGTCACGGCGTGGACCGTCGTCACGGCGTGGACCGTCATCGCGGCGTGGACCGTCATCGCGGCGTGGACCGTCGTCACGACGACCACCGTCACGCCAACCGTCATCGCGGCGTTCCTCACGTCGTGGGCCACTGTTACGCCAGCCATCGTCACGTCGACCCTCGTCACGCCTGGCATCCTCGCGCCGTGCATTGTGACGCTCTTCTTCACGGCGTCGCTCCTCCTCTCGTCGACGTTCTTCTTCAGCACGACGTTCTTCCTCAAGACGACGTTCCTCCTCCATGCGCTCCTCCTCACGGATACGCTCTTCTTCACGGCGGCGTTCTTCTTCCAGGCGCCTCTCCTCCTCAATACGACGCTCTTCTTCACGACGACGTTCTTCCTCACGGCGACGCTCCTCCTCACGACGGCGCTCTTCCTCAAACCTGGCACGCTCCTCCTCCAGCCGCTCCTTGAATTCTTTCATCTCATCCTGCAGAGAGATCACAAACAAAATCAGTGTAGCACATTAGACATACGGGCCATTACCGGTAGTTCATTGATCCGAAAACTACTGTACGTACCAGCTAGCAGCTTGCATCACAGTGCATCACAATGGACATGAACGAACGGTATGGCAGGACTGCTGGTCTAAGCGACACCCGTCACAGCTGACTGATACAGTGTATTGCACAAGGCCGTAGAGTATGTCTGCCTACCTGCCCCCCACAAACCCATGCATGCCTGTAACAACAATAGTCGACAAGATCGGAATGAAACAGACCAAGACTTGTGTCACGTAACATGGTATACACGCACACACACGCACACACACACACACACACACACACACACACTTGTTTATGATCAGAAAAAAGCACGGGATTACAGAGTGGCCGTACCTGATAGCGCACGTTGCGATGGCTCGAGAGTCGGTCAATGTAGATCTTCACATCAACCTCCATCTTGGACATACGGCCCCTGATCTCTTCAGCGTCCTTTCTATCTGTGATGGCCTTCTCAATCTAAAACAGAGTAAAACACAGCGGGGACTCAAGTAAGAGACGCTTAATGGGTCGAGTGACACACACACACACACACACACACACAGCCATGAGATGAAGACTGGTACCTATGCATGTATGTGTATGTGTATGTGTGTGTGTGTGTGTGTGTGTGTGTGTGTGTGTGTGTGTGTGTACGTGTATTGGGTCCACGCTAGTAGGGCAGAGTAAAGTACTGTTAGTAGGTTAGCCAGTGAAACAGCCATATCGGCAAATTCTACTTCACGCTCACCTTGGCCTTCTGTTGTTCCTTGAAGAAGACTTCATCGTCCTTCAACTGCTGCTCATACTGTTCCTTGAGCAGGGGGACTTCAGCAAGACGCTTGGCACGCTCAAAGTGATCCACCTACAGGAGAGAGAGAGAACAAAAGACACACCAGATTACCGTGGAGGCTGTCACCATCGCTATCGTACGTTATTGAGCAAGAACATAGATGTAGGCGTAATTGTGTGAGTGGGTAATGAACACACACGCTGGGTACAGTACAGAGATCAACAAGACAACCTCACTAGATGATGCCATCATGAACTTCATAGTACCGATGTGCATATAGTGCTCTGGAAAGCCGCACCTCTTCTCAAACAAAAGCTTCAAGAGCATATTGTCATTATGCTACCCGTACATTGCTTCTCCAGGGTTGAGATGCCGTACAGCCAGAGTGCATGGTGACAAAGCCCCCCCCCCCCCCAACACACACACACCGTCTTGCCATGGCCACACAGTCCATTGGAGCAGCAGCAGGTGATGGCTGTAGTAACGCTTAGGGCTTACCCTCTTCTCAACTGCCTTCAGTCTCGTTGCCAGTTCCTTCTTCTCACGTTCGAGCTCTTCCATTTGCTTAGCAACCAGGCTGTCGGCATCAAGGTTTTCAATGTCCTAGAGAAGAGATCAAAGACACAGTAGAGAAAGTTCGAAATGACATCTACAAAAGTCCTTGTCAAGGGTGCTTGCCTCAAGACCTGCACAGCATCTGTCGCTGTGAACCGCCTGGATACATGTACCAGTCTACACAGCCACGAAGGGTATGTGAAAACTGGAGTGCGCAGCCTCCATCAAATCTGGTGCAAAGTCTGGACATCAACGAACAGATAGGTAATGCAGGTGTGGAACATCAAGAGTACTACAGTACACTCTGTACTCTTGGACATGCACTGTGTGTGGCATGCTGAACTTGCGTGACTGTACTACACACTACAAGCTGTAGGCACGTTATTCTACCAACATGCTCCGTTTGACCCTCTGGGGACAAACATAGAACCCAAGCCCCGTGTCTGTTCGCTTGCCTGCTTCAGGGAGGACTTGCTAGTCCTTGGGAACCTTGGCAGACTAGGGAAATCACCTGAGACATTGGTGGCCGGGTGACCCCGAAACAGTGAACGGATTTTGGGTGGCCTTTGACATGAAATTTTGCTACGTGGCAGTGACTGCCTAGACACAAGAAGTCACACAAAACATGCTGCTAACGCCGCTATCATGTCACATACCTCAGGCTTGAGATTGGCAAGTGCCTTTCCACCAATGGCGGTCTTTTTGATCTGCTCGATCTTCTCCATGACCTGGCGGCGGCCAATTTCTGCCAGTTCCTCCTTCTTGCGCTTGGTCTCGCGCTCCTCTGCCTCCTTCTTGAGTCGCGCTTGTTCTGCAGCCTTGGTCTTGCGGATCTTCTCCTGCTCCAAGGCACGCTCTTGACGTTCCTGTCGTCACAGCACGCGAGCACACAATAAAGAGTACAATGTCATATATTATCACTATTTTGGCAAGGTATTGGAAGTGAATCGAAACAATCCAGAACACTGAGATACTATAGCATGCCTCATTACATAGAGTAAGCAGTGCAAGAGCCAGCCTTTCCTGAAATCCACCTGTCGTTTTGTAGAGGACCGCAGCGAAGGCATGCAGCAATTGGAAATCTATAGACTGCATGCACAGTGATGAAGTATGTAGGATGGAGTGGACGCACGCACTAGTTTTTTTTAATCCGTACACCCAGTTCATCTAGCAAAATGTGCACATGCACAGGGTAACAGGGGACATCACGACAAATTGTTCTTACAGTCTATACTGTATATGAGTGAATAAGCTGTGTGATCAACTGTGTGATTAACAGCAGCAAGTAGCCATGCCATAAGGACATTGGCCACCACAGTGCGCCACTAATCAAGCTTGATGTAGCGACGTGAAAAATTGAAGCCAGCAACAGCAAAATCTGCTGGCCACAGAGTGTTGCTTCGCAGAAGTGATTAGTGTCGGGCTTATAGACAAAGGGAAGGGGGACTTACTCTGATAGCGCACCACCCTACTGTTTTTCTTTTTTCGATTTTTGTGTTTTCCAGTTCACACAGTAAGAACGTGGCCACAAATCGATCGTTCCGGGCGCTCTGTGCACCCGCTTAACTGTTTGTTTCCCTTAACCCCTGCCCTGCTCAGTGACAACAGCTGAACAGTCAACGACTAGTAGCTAGAGCCATAGGAACGAGCAGGAGAGTGATTGCTTACCCTGGCCTGAGCTAGAGACTCGATCTCTTCTTTGCGCTTCTCAATGACAACCTTGCGCTTGAGCATGTTGCGGTGCTCCTTGACGCGGTTGTTCATGTGCGCCTTGGTGGTGGAGCGGCGTTGGGCCTCAACCTTGGTCTGAAACAAGATTGGCAATAACAGCAGCAAGCCCATTTACATGTACATACAGTATTAGAGTGACAGTGACCCATCAACTCAAGTCCATTAGCCAAGGACATGAGCCATAAATACTAAAATACAAAAAAGCAGGGATGTAGAGGACAGAAGTGCAGCAATGTGTACGATCAGCGGTGGCAAGTAGCCATGCTACAATAACAGCGGCCACCAGAGTGCACCACCAATCACATTTTCATATAGCGAAGTGAAAAATTGAAGCCAGCTACAGCAAATGCTGCTGGCCACAGAGTGTTGCTTCGCAGATTATAGTGTAGGTCATGTCGCACAAAGACTTGATACAGCGACAAAAGATATAAAAGCACAACGTCACTCACAGTTTCGTCTTGCGGCGCAACAAGCGTGGCAGCCTTGGCCAACGCACGGGACATCTCAGACAGTTGCTTGCGCAGGGTCTCGGAGGGCATTGCCTGTGAAAGAGCATTGGAATACAAGTGGACAGAATGAACAACAATGCAGCAATGCGCATGCAGGACTTGATTACCCGTACAACAAGAGTACATAACCCCCCAGAGTGTGCAACTCCCACATACCCTGCTGTCCCGACAGAATTTCAAGTTGACGTCATTATTTATGACGCAATGCTCCTTGCACCAGTGATTTACAACATGTGTACAGGTGTCAACGCATCACACGTTTTTCTTTCCAATAATTTGTACAGGATCGATCGGCTTCGGTCAACCACAGGTTCCGGATTCGTCTGATAATCCGTGTACAGTGCGCATTGCATCATGAAAATGACGTCAACTTGAAATTCTGTCGGGACAGCACCCATAGTGGAGTTGCACACTCTGGGGGGTTATGTACTCTTGCCGTACAAGCATCACTTCGAATCTCAGACACCGGCAATGTACTTGTAAAAGCTTCACATGTGGAATACTGTGATGCGGGCAAGTACATGCACTAAGGCAGTGCACTGTGTACTAGCGACATGTATTGGGTGCTACAGTGCTTTACTGTGCATTGTTGTGCACTACAGCCAGTCTATCGTACACGTGTACAGTATTAGGCTGTGATCAGCAGCAAAGTCAAGTGTACTGTTATAGTAAGGAATGTGTGATCAGCGTCTTTCGAAAACACCACTGAGAGCATTGACCGATAGATGACACCAATCACATTTCATGTAGCGAAGTGAAAAATTGAAGCCAGCTACGGCAATGCCCGCTGGCCACAGAGTGTTGCTTCGCATAATCAGAGCTAAAGGATAATTATGCATGTAGCATAGTCGTCATGCAACAGGTTAGCTGCTGGCACCAGAATACAGAACCATTGACAACATAAACACAGAGGTAATAAGCTTATCAATCTTGGTTTTATTCTAGAACAAGTCAAGCCTGCATGCATCCATGCAATTGACGCACCCAGTCCAAAACATACATCACATCAGATATCAAACGTTTTCGTTCCCTTCTCTTCAGGATTACACAGGGAATGGCTGAAGTGAAAAAATGACTAAAATTGATAGCGTAAATGCCAGTGTCAAGGTTTTTTTGACTGAGGATACATGTACTTGGAATGCTGTGCACTTTCTTTTTGCCATGCAAATTGGCAAAGGAAGTGGTTTTATCTACCCGACCTATTCCTGCTTGCCGTTTGCGTGCGTGTGCTCCACATGTCAACATACCTGGAGGAGAGGTCCCTCCATGCTCTGTTCAACAAGGGAAATGTCGGCACCAAACATTACTGACTGTGAGCGGTGGTCGATGCGAACCTAAAATTAGGACAAGAAAAATACAGAATGCGGTTGTCAGGACTTAAAATGCCAGGTAACAACTATGCTTATGACTAAGGGTTCATGTTGAGGCAATGCGCATTGAGACAGTGTGCAATATGCTGTTGTAGTAAGGAAATGTGTGATCAGCGTCATTCCAAAACACCACTGAGAGCATTGACGGACAGGTGACACCGATCACGATTCATGTAGCGAAGTGAAAAATTGAAGCCAGCTACGGCAATGCCCGCTGGCCACAGAGTGTTGCTTCGCATAACCAGAGTGAAAGGATAATTTTACATACACTAGTAGAGTGAGAGTGAGAGAGAGAGAGAGAGAGAGAGAGAGAGAGAACAATGTCAATAGGGAACGTGTCCTCGCTATGCTGATGTTATGTAAGTGGATTTAGCAAGCCAAGAGAGCTGTGTGGAGTGGTGGCCAAGTCTGTCACTACTCCTCAGCTCTGACAAAATACCATAGAAAATGTGGTACCGATAGTTCTTTCTCAAATACTACGGACCATTGGCAATTGCCAGTGGAGTGTGCATATAATTACTACACTTCTCCACTGGTGCCATGTGAAATCCACCCCTGTGCATGACTCAGTACCAGGGGTTGGATTTTACCCAGGACGTACTGTGCGGTGATGCCCGGTGAAATCCAACCCCATTGCATGACCTGACTCAGGTGCACGGGTTGGATTTCACCCATGCAGCACGTACTGTGCGGTGATGCCTGGCGAAACCCAGCTCCTGGGCATGAATTGACTCAGTTCCATGGGGCTGGATTTCATGTGGTACCGATGTACTTCACCTACCTGCAGGTCAACCAACTTGGCAGCACGGACAATGGCGTTCTCTAGACCGAACTCGGTTACGAAAGGCGACAGCTCAAGCAAGCGCTTGATCTGGATGGTGGAGTAGACTTGAGCAACCTGCACACAAGGCAAAGACACGATGTCAAGAAGACTCGGTGAACACAAGAGACTGGGTAAGTGCACGGTGCATCATGTCCATTTCAACCGATGCACCACGGTGTCAATACAAGAGAAAATAGGGACAGTTCTATAAGGAAATGTGGCGCAAGCACACTATGCTCAGATGTGAGCAAACATGGCAAAGCTGCCCATTCAGAGGAAAGTCTCTCTTCTCCCACGATAGCTGCACACTCATACCTGCTGAAGGAGACGTGACGTGGCGACAGTCTTGATCTTCTCGGAGTACTGCTTCAGCTCATCCTCATTGTCCAGGTGTTGAATGCAGGTGGAAACACGGTCGCACAGTTGTAGCGGGTGAAAGTCATTCTCCAGCCAGTTGAAGAGCTGTTGAAGTTCGGGTGACACATGCTCCAGCACATTGAGGCGAATCTGTAAGTCACAAGAAATATGAAGAGAAGTACCCCGTCACTCGCTGCCGACAGAATAAGCCAGGAGAAGAGGATCTTTTCCCACACCACACGCCATTATACTGTGAATTCATCGGATACCGGTATCCGGGGATGGGATATGCTTGCTAAACTAGTACAATCATGTAACTTGCCTGCCCAATCGCTCACGTCTCTTTTACCCGTTCCACGCTATAGCTGCAGCAGTGCGCTTGGCCCAATTGTCACTCGGCGAAACTAAAAATAGTACCTAGTCAGTGGTGAGGTTGCTGCCTCCCATGGCATGCCACGTGCTGTTACGGTCTCCCCAGCGAAACCTGAATGTGTCCCAGAGCCGATACGGACAGCCTGGCCGTACATTCGGAGCGGAGTGCATACATGTACGCGATGCTGGCATGCACAGGGATAAATAGTGGACATAGAATTTTGGTGTGTGGCCGATAATACAAAGCACTAAATTCTGAACAAGGAGAAATATGATGGCATGGTGTGATACGGTCAACATCAGCACAAGTAAAGCAATACAGTCATGTAATTACCACATCGCGGATCAGTGATGCTCTGGATGGTGCCTGGCTGAGCTGCAGCAGACCGGCCAAACGCCTGTGCTTGTCGCGGGCGATCTCGTTCAGCTCCGCTGTGAAGTTGCTCTCCGGGTTGCAGGAGTGCAGTGGCACGGCCAGGGTGGCTGCCACAACTCTCGACGCAAGCCTGAACACATTGCAAGGAAAGTAAGAACGTCCAAGACCAGCAAAATGTTACAAACATTGGGGTGAACTCAATTTGAAAAGGAAGAAAAAAGCTCTGGCCAAAGAGGAGTTCCTCATGTCATCAGTAAGCCACACAGCCATAGAATAGCTAGAAATAAGTCCTGCAGGTGTGTTCTCAAGAAGAGAGAAAGATGTCTTGCAGTGCAAAAGGAGTCAATGCTGCCCGTCACAAGTCACGTGTACACAGCAGGGTTTCCACCACACAATGGAAGCAGGTAGTCAGCATGCTGAAACGCAATGAAAGTGAGAATCCATTGCTTAGTGGTCAGATGCGGGAACGTGAACAACACAGGGCCAACACAAAAGAAAACCTTACTTTCCAAGCTCTACTTCTGACATGTTTTTCTTCTGCTCGCGGGACAGGATGAGCAGGCGATGGCATGCGGCTGCATGGAAAAGAGGGTTGTTAGCCATCCAGTACACGGTGGCTTGCTTCATCAAGTAGTTAGCCACCATGGCCGGACGAGGGGGCTTCTTGCTCAGCGTCAGCAGACCATGTACATCGTTGATAGCCTTGAATGCCTCCTATAACAGTAGAGGTTAGAGAGTAGGGAAACAGAATCTGAAATGGTTAGTGATCAATCCCTTGCACAAAGCAGGTTAAGACCACTCTTTCAGTGCGATATCAAATCACCTTCCAGGTTTCAAGCCAGTACGGTGCTACTGTGTTAGTTACAGCATTTGAGGGAGACAGACCATATTGATTTCAAGTGGTACAGCATCACGGAGCAATTGTCTGCACCGATGCCATCTACGCGTGCATGTACATACCTGCCACAGGTCCAGGCCAATGGCAGTGTCCAGCTGCTGCAGGCGAGTCTCGACATGCAGCTGCATGCTCTCTGGCGAGTTGAGGTTGACACTGTTCGACTGATTCTGGTAGGTTTGGATGTGCTGCAAGTGCTGACGAAGCTGTGCCAGTGTACACAAACACAAACACACACAGATACAAACAAGAAAACACGATTAAAAATGAATTCCCACTGGTGACACGCAAGAACTTACAAGTACATGTTCCCAGCAGAGTGGGATTTATACAGTAGGTCCTACAAAAGGAAAAGAATGGGATACGGAGCTTGGGTTGGCTGTGACTCCTAGTTTCACGCCTGTGGCGATCATCAGACAGCAATGATTACAAAAACTCAATGAATGTTCTTGATATAGTGTGGTAAGGTGCTTGTGGAATCAGAGAATTTAAGCGCAAATAAGGTCAAGCGGTGATTCTATGCATGTACTTGCAGTAGGTCCTATGTCGATGAATCCCATTCAGACCCCCCCCCCCCCCCCCCCCCCGGGTATCCAGAGATCTTCCCTTGGCTTGGGTTGGTAAGTATGCTGTAAGTTGCCAGTGCAAGTGATGAGACAGCTAGAGCAGAGTGTGCACAGTGCCAGCCATGATGTACAGACTAACAGTGTACGCCTTGCCACTCTTAAGTCTCTTACGTTATCACACAGCTTGCGGAACTCAGTGCGACGTCCATAGTCGATGCAGAACTTGAAAGCTGCACGTGATCAAATTACAAAGACACACAGTAAAGTGATCACATTTTACGAGTATACACAGCATTCTGGTCATTGTATAATAGTATTCCATTCTGGAGTCCACTTCAATTCAACACTCGGTTCAGCAGACAGCCCAAAGGGAGAAAAACTGAATAAGCATATCAATCAGAACTTCCATTGTGTTGCTCACCTTCCTTTGCTACTTCATGGTAGATCTTCTCCACCTTGGCGTTGTTACGTAGAAGATCCAGCACACTGCGATAGGCCTCCCAGAGGAACTTGACCCAGGGTGTAAGCAGAACACGGTCAGTACGTGCCTGTGTGTCTTCAGCACTCACCGCGCTAAGCAGCAGACTGGGGTAGGGGACACAAGTATGTGCAAGTGGAGACAGAGATAGATAGATAGATAGAGAGAGAGAGAGAGAGAGAGAAAACATGAAAACGGATCAAGACAAGCATATCATGGTGTATAGCATACGGGTCTACAGTATGTGTACTGGTGACGCCCAGCTCAATGAAATCCAGACTCGTGAATAAGCAACCAGCCTGTACGAGGTGCACAGTCCAGTGTCCTCAATGCTACGAATGCACAATGACCAGCTCCATCTCAAGATACGTGAATACTTCTCTAGCAGACAAAAGAACTATCAGAGAAAGGAATAAAACAAGCTTCAGGCTTTTTGTATGCCACATTCCAAAGTTTCCACAAGTTCTTCCATTGCCCTCTCTTCAGGTGGATACAGGTAGAAGAAGAACCTAACCAGTACAACAACTAATAAACATCAATGCGATTAATAGTATTAGTGAAGCGGACATTACAAAATGATGAATGAGAATACATGTATCTAAAATGGTTGTTCCTAATCGATTTTCTTGAGACTATCATCAGGGAAAATCGTCTCACAATAGAGGCTATACGGAGAAACAAACTATGTACTAATAGGTTATTGGATAGTGGGAAGTATACAAGGTGAGGTGTGAAAAAACTAAAGTGGGAGAGAAGACGAAAGAAATTAGAAGAAAAGATGTGAGAGTGTTCCCGACGGTGTGAGCTACTACATAAGGTGAGTGAAATGAAGGCGTGGAAGCAGGTGAATGTGATAGAGTGAGGAACTGTGAGTGAGGAACCTTGTATACTTCCCACTATCCAATAACCTATTAGTACATAGTTTGTTTCTCCGTATAGCCTCTATTGTGAGACGATTTTCCCTGATGATAGTCTCAAGAAAATCGATTAGGAACAACCATTTTAGATACATGTATTCTCATTCATCATTTTGTAATGTCCGCTTCACTAATACTATTAATCGCATTGATAAAGTTATTGTCTCCTCGTCGCCTTTTCAACTAATAAACAGTGCATGTACAGGTGACGGAAGCACCAGTAGCTAGATTAGCGAGAACAAACACAGAAAAAGGAGCAAAAAGCCGGTTCATTTGTCGTCTACTGCTATCACAACGCATATCCCGCTGATCACACTTCTTCCTACCTCTTCCCACAGGAACCACTAGAGAAGAACTGTAGATGTGCTACGCTTCTACGTGCTTCCGGAGCAATACTTTACACCTTTGTCAGTGTTTGTTCTCACCAACCTACGCATTGCTGTATATAGCACTTAACGTTACACATTGTTCAAAAGTTACTGTACTGCTTAGTTTCTTCTTCTGCCTGTATCCACCTTAAGAGAAGGCAATGAAAGCACTCGTGGGAACTTTGGAATTGTGCTGTAAAGAGCTTGAGGCTTGTTCTATTTCTTAGTCTGATGTATCGGAAGAGGTTTGATTTTAATGAGCAGCACTGCAGAACAAGCATGTAGTGGCACCAATGTCAGAGTACACCTTGCAGCAATCCATTACGCTGTCCTATGTGAGAACGGATCCATGAGCACGGCTATAACATGGACTAAGCAACACTGGATGTGAGTTCTCGTCGGTGAGTCGTGATGCGAATTACCGTACAGTCATGTATACGTGTTTGAAGCATTAGTTGTTACATGACATACACATGGCAGGAGAATGCATGACATTCCACAGCTACTAGTAAGTGCATTCACTAGTCCACCCTGTGTTGGAAATGTGGTGACGTATGCGTCCAAATAGCTCTGCCAACAACTACATGTAGTTGCAACGACTGTGTGTCATTTTCACAACTGAAATGTTCACCTTTCAGGAGTCTGAATATGGTCTAAGTCGTCCACATCCAGTACAATCTGTCCATCTTTCACCACTTGCTGCGAGTTTTTACGGGCATCCTCAGCCTTCTCGTTGGCCAGCCTCAGGAAGAAGCGGACACTGTCCTCCAGCGAAGCAATGCTAACTTGCTGAGTAATAAGTTTGTACTGATATAGACCTTCTTTGGCCAAGTGTCCTCTTCTCAACTCCACGCAGAGAGTGAGATACTTCTCCATGATCTCCTCGTGTACCTTCTGCCATTGTCTATGTTTTTTGCTCTTTATCACATCGGCAAGTGCGTCAAGTGCGGGCTCCTTCTTCCCGACTTCGAGGAACTCTACAAAATGAAAAGAAACCAAGGCGAAAAACCAGGTGTCGGATAACAAGTGCAACGCCAAATTTCCGCCGTAATCCGGCTGCAATCCACTTACCATTCGCTCTTTTGAGAGCATTCTCTGGCTTGAGAAAAAACACCGGCATGGCTCCTAATCTTCTCCCATTCGGGAGCAAGAAATATCCCGTTGTCCAAAGGTCCAACAACCACACTTCACAACTTTCACTTTGCGGCGAGCAGCGCAACAGATTCGAAGGCCTCGGACCTCGGATCTGCATGCATGCGAGATCGCCACAGAACAGCAAGGTACGGTACATAAGCTGAGTAGCTCAGAGCGAAATTTTTCGCAGCCATTTTGTTTCGCAATGTCGGGTAGCGCTGTATACATGTAGTTACGTCACGATCAGGAAGCCGTCCGTATTTTCCAACTGCTTCACGACTTGGCAAGTGGTACTTTTTCTGGCATGTTTCATGCATACCGGTATTGCCTATTGGCAAGAGTACATGAAGTTTTCATGTACTCTTGCTATTGGGGATGTGGATACAGAAATGGAGCAGAATACAAGGAAGTGCCTGCCATAAGGTTTGTTACTGTGTATGGTTCTGCCCGGAATTCCACTGCTTTTCGAGCAGGGTTTGCCTATCCCGGCGAGCCGCGATCATGCTAATCCGAATGATCCGCGCCAAGGGCTACCACCCGAAGAGTATAACCATCTTGCTCAGTGGTACTAAAGTACAGCCAGATATAGGAACTAGCCAGGGAGTTGTCAAATACCCGGCCCTAATTCAAGTATTTGTACATAATAACAAGAGCACATAGTCATGCTGACTTGCAATACTGAGTATCATGCCGACTCATCCGGCCTGTCCGGCCATGGCCGGACCCGCTAGGCTACTTTTTGAAGCCGGTGATCCATCCGTACAATGGAGATCTAGGGTTGAAAACCAGGCAATCCCTGGTTGAAACTTTTCCGGTCAAGCCTCTCACAGTTTCGGATCATCCGCCGACTCTGAGTCCGCCGCGTCACAGGCCTCTAGCTCTGTGGCGCCCCTCAGTCATGGATAGGGACCGACGGACTGGGGGGGGGGGGGGGGAGTTCTGCTCGAAAAGGTCACGGGCAGATTCTGCTCGAAAAGCAGTGAAATTGGCAGAACCATACAAACCTTATGGCGGGCAATTCCTCGAATTCTGCTCCATTTTTTTGGGTGAAACGGTTCGGGTACTGAGGAACCTGTTTTGGAACCGCCAGCTGAAAAGAATCGGGTACCCGTCCGGCCGTCAAATTTCACAAATACATGTACACGTCAAGTCTACTCAAGATTTTAAATGTCTTACCTTACGATCCCCACTCTTCCAAAGAGTTCTCTGGTCATTATCTTCTTTGCACTTGGACTCTCCGATGATGTCTCATTCTTGCTCGTAAAAATGTTTTTTTCTAAAAAATAATTGTCGCAAACGCATTTTGTCGGTCTGGAGAAAAGAGTGCATGGAACTGATACCCGAACCGTGGGAAACAATGCTAGCATTCGGGTACCCGAACATGAAAAACATGGAACCGTTTCACCCCTAATGTTTTTATCCGCATACCAAACATGCATGAAACTTACCAGAAAAAGTACCGAATTCTGCCAATTTTTCTGCCGGCAGAATACGCCGGACCCTAGTCACGGATCATGGTGCAATAATATCCTAATCGTGTATTACGCCGGTATAATGTCCGTGTTGGCACTTGCTGTAGCCGTGATCCCATGAAGGCGTGACTGGTCTTGGGCTCCCGGCTGCCATACACAACCTTTCAAACCATAATAACTGGCACAGTTTTGACTGCTCAGTCTTAAATAAAAATACGAAAAGTACATAAGCTCAGGGAGCTTATTAACTTTTGGTATTTTTTGAACTCCATATAACCCCATAGACTCTTGATAATAGTGAGGTCATGTGACCTAGGACATGACAGCAGGTCACGTACACCAGGTTCAAATACGTACTGTTTGGAATTTTTAAACCGAAGGATATTCTCTAGCCGGTGCGCTGCGACCCACTGAGTCGAGTGGCAACTTCTCGGAACTGTGAAGGTAACAGGGACTCGGATTTGGTATTTATGCTAATGGCGGAGACTTACCCCAACCGCTTTAGGTGTCGCCAAGAGTAAATAAGCTCTTGGTATCACATGTTGAGGTTAGGCACAATTAGCAGGCGAGTGCCGCCACATGGAACATGACCACAATGATAATAATACACTATGCCTCACCAAACACTGTAGGAACACTGTCATCCACGAGGTTTGGTTGGAGCCATAATAAGCACATAATCAGTGACCAGCATAGTTTTTTTGCTGAAAGAATTCGAAATAGTGCGGCAAACAAAAGAATATTTTAACACAGGTACATGTCCATGGACTATGGTAGTCCATGTGCTAATAAGGACGGTTATGCCGCAACGGCTCAAGTATATGTGCTAGTCGAGCACTTTAGTGGGTATGGGTATAATAATGATAGGCAAGCTGAAGGTAGAATCGGTGACAGGACAGTCAAATGTGAGGCTCGGAATGATGCAAATCTGCTTTTTCAGAATGCTCTTGAGTCAGCTCATGCAGCACTGTTTTCATTATTTTACTCTACAATTGTAGTACATCATATGCAATAATATAATGATGACAGCTCTCCACAGGAGATAACAAGCCGGTGGAATCTCAATCAGTCAAGAACACCGCGGTCAGGCAATAACACGGTCAAGGGCTCGGGAAACTTGACCCGAGCTATCGAGGCAAATCATGATTCAGTATTTGCAACAGGTGCAGTACACACAGTGGTGGCTATCAATGAATATTGATAGTAGTCGAGAATTTCGATCAGTGTTTTTTATTCAGTGTTTTTCATTGCAGTAAATCAAGTGCAATGTGCACGCTGTGATAAATCAATCGGTGCGAAAGCGTGATCAGGGGTGTGTGTGTGTGGGGGGGGGGGGTATTTCTGACCAGCAGACATTATTTATTTAGAAGGCTGTCTAAAGGTTCTATCAGCTGGGATTGGTTGTATAAATACTTCATATACTTCAAAATCAGTAACCGTGTTACCTGCGCAACATCATGAAATATACTGTGACGTTCCAAATCATCAAAAGGCGGGCCAATATCTGACCAGAATTGTTTTAGATGTTACATCAAGCACTCCTAAATTGCATGGACGCATATCATGGCAATTGTCTGAGAGCGTGCGGTCCGGCTGTAGACCGTTTCAATCCACTGCAGTTGAGCAAGCTGCAGGGATCCTTGATGCAAGTCTGGACCTTGCCAAGCAAGAGTGTCGATAATGATCGCGATTGCACCGGTATTTTCTTCATGACATCTTGACTATGTGCACGGCCAGCACTGTAGGGCTGCATGGAATGCCAGAGATTATTGACACTATCATGTGCCGTAGATCGCACTCCGACTTATCAGAAGTGACGGACGTGGTCCAATACCAGACCTGACGGTGACCACTGACCTGCATCTGAAGGCAGGAGCGTGGGGACGTTTTGCCGGCGAAGCGAGTGTTGCGGTGGTTCTTTCTCACTCTCATGAACTTCCGCTCGATATCCATGACATCCGGCATCTCCGAACACCACGGGTGCACGAAGCTGACCATGATGGTAAACAAATCTGTATTGGCACATTGACAAAGGATATAGTGGACACAAACTGATGTGCTAGCTGTGTAAATAGAGCAGGACAATGCTGCAACTTGTTCACACTGACCCTCAAACCCAGCCAGAGACAGGTATCAGCTTGCCACTAGTACTTGTAGTTGACTACTAGTATCTGTGCCGGCTGAATACTGCGATATACGTGGCTGTGTTCCACAACTGGCTTCACTCACTAGCATAGCATCCTAACTTCTAACGTTAGTACCCAATGCAGCAGTGACGGAGAGTTCAATATCCGCCTCGCTAATTATTTTTATTGCTGTAAAAAAAGTTCCACCTTCTATACAAACTGTCTGAATCCTCGCCATCACCCACCTCTCTTCTTTCGGGTTCCTTGAAGCAGGCGGCCTGGTTTCAGAGCAAGGCACTGTCTTTCCTGTCCTGTGATCATTGTGATATTGACCGTGTCACTTTCATCGGTCATAGCATCAGTTATCAGGGCAGTGTGCACATTCAATGTTTTCCAGACATCACCGCTACTATTGTCAGGCGCTGACCATACATGCTCCCGTGTCGGCCGTCCCTCCTGGGTATTGGTACGATCGCATCCAACGAGAAACTGCTCCGTATGTGCGGATTGAGTCGCCCCGCAGGTAAATAGATGGAGTTTGCTGTCTGCTCCTCCGTCTGTTCTGGCGGCAGTGACTACTGGAACTCTGCTTGGGATCGAGCTGGGTGCTGTGAATGCGTGTGTGTTCGGCAGAATAGACAGCAAAACCCAAGGCAGTGTGAGATTAGGCAGCGTTATAGCATGCAGAGTTGCGGTATGCAAGGTTATGGCATGCAGAGTTGCAGTATTCAAGGTTATGTCATGCAGGTCTTGCCATACCATGCTGCAGACCACAGTAGCAAAGGTGGTATGTTGCGGTCACGAGATTCATACACATACCCATGACGGTGCACCCATGCATAGCTCTCTGTCCAGTGGTACTGTGGCATACAGCATGACATTACAACACTGTGCGTGTACCGACTCCAGCCTTGACAGTTTTATGGCAAAGCATTAAACACATACCATTCAGCATCCCACCCCCTCCACCACACCGCCATGCCACCAAACCAGACCATAACTCGTTAGGTTGTGGTTGCTGTCAGTTCACTGTCTGTGGTGAGGTTTTCCTCTCTTTCTTTCTAGAACCATGCTCCAGTTTGAGATGCTGCAGCAGAGCTCTCGGCCATTGTCAGCATCTCTATAAAGATGTTGGACCGACAATCACCATGGCATCCTAGTCATTGTGCAATGGGTAACTAGTAGTCCACGTTCGTGTTGCCATGCCTGGCTCGCTATGGGGGTACCTAACACATACTTCGAAGTAGAACACTAGGAATTCACAAGGTCAAACCCTAGTGAAGTCGATCAATTCTCTAAAACCGCTAGGGTTTTCTTGTTGCAAAAAAGTCACGCTTTACGGTGATGCATTCCAAAAGACTCTCACCTGCGGGAAGCACACGGACCAATGCTGTTGTAGAATAGCGTCCAGCAACGCACTTTACGTGAAGAATTGTGTTGCTGTGCTGCTCTTCAGGGAAGAAGCTGAACTCGCCGTACTTGTACCGGTTTGTCCCTTCTGTTGGCTGCTTTCCATTTACAAACCATGTTCCGAGTTCGCCACTTGGTGATATGCAGCAGCATAGCTTGAAAGGCTTCCAGAGAACAGCTGTGTAGTTTCCCGCTTTCGGAAGGATTGGCTTTGTTTGTAAGGCGGCTGCAGTAGATGTAGCCGCAACAGCACTGTTGGCACACCGTACTGTTATGTCTTTGTGTCCATGGTGGCCCTCGGCTACCTGGCCATCACCGTGTGTTGGATTAACAGTCCACGAGCGGCTGTAGCAGTTGACACGTATCGTGAATGACCCACGGCACGTCGTGTTTCTCCCTGCCGTCAGCGTGATGAATCGTTTCTGCTCCAGAGGCTCCGGCAGCATTTTCCAGCTCTGCCCCGCCACAGTGCCGCTGCTGTCGCTGCTGCTCATGTGCGATACTGATTGCTGTACAGACCACTGGTATGCTGTGGTGGTGGTGCGGGTACCTTCTGTGCTAGCGTCACTGGCTGTGTTACAGGAAGCAGTTATTTCATCTCCACCGTTCACCGTGGAGCGACTCACTTCAACGGCAGCTGCGTGAAAAACACCGAGACAGGACACACACACACACACACACACACACACACACACACACACGCACACACACGCACGCACAGACAGACGCACACACACACACGGACATACACACACGGACATACACACACTTATTATGAATACTGGACAAGGGGACCTGTGTTGGTATGAGACGTGTCACTATTGGACACCTATGCTTTACTCAATTTCAGCTCTTTCAAAGCAGTTTACTGTATCTTATTCACAGGTGCCCCATCCACCATGCGTCTATCCACCATGCATCTATCGACTATGCATCTATCGACTATGCATCTATCGACTATGCATCTATCGACCATGTACACGACTTCACAGCCGATATTTCCATGGCACACACTCAGTCTTCTGCCGACAGCCGGGTTGAAAAGTGATAATAATTTAGTTCGTACACGTGCCTGTGTAGTTGTTTGGGACACGCATGGATGACTGCTTACACCATGCAGGACATGGACACCTGCAACAAACAGAAGGAAGTGCGTGTGTGTGTGTGTGTGTGTGTGTGTGTGTGTGTGTGTGTGTGTGTGTATGTGTGTGTGTGTGTGTGCTGGTGTGTGTTTGCAGCAACACGTCCAGATCTGTTTGACTCTCAGTCAGTAGCTACATGATGGCACCTGCTCAGCTGGTTCGCCACGGACACCAGGCACCCAGACACTCCGCACAACAAGACAAGACGACAAAACCGGAACATGACTGCCAGCTGGTGTTGTGCTGATCATGATGTGATCAAGGCAGCGGCAATGAAGCACAGCGGCTGTCGGTGTTATGGGGTTCTTAGGGGCTCAGCGGCTTGCTCTCTACTTCAGTGCACTGCAACTACAGCCGGCACTAGTGTTTACCAATGGCTGAATTCCGGACCACACACTGCTAGTTGCACTGTGCACACTTTTTTTTCAATGGAAGTATTGCTAGGTGCATTGCATGGTTACAGAGCACTGGACGCAGCCAGCAGGCTGAGGATCTTGGATACCTGTGTTACATGTAATTTTAGGTGTATTCTTATTTCGGTGTCAGGGACCTGATGGGTTTCAATTGTAACTTAGAATTAGGTCTGAGGTAAAATACCGCTAGTTTACGACTTTTCATTAGTTTGAGGGGAAAGATGCAAACGGGAAAAGTCTGAAGAAGAAGAAATTGACTGTCACCATCAGGACTCGAGCCAGGGACCCTCGCTTGAGCCTTTGAGGCCAGCGATGCTCCACCACCAAACCACGGTGTATAGTCGTCATCCAAGCAGCGACCGCTCAACTTTCACGACTTCCTGGTTATTATTAGCCTACATTGTACTTCTACAGGTACTCACGTTTCACTTGAAGATGTATACGTCGATCTGGTCGCTGCTGTTGCCCGACACATTCGTACACTCCACTATGATATTCTTCTGCGTAGGCGATAACCAGCGGTCCCATCTCTCCACCTTGCGCTAAGCTGCCTCGGGTGGCCAGTGCATCACCTGTACCGGTAACACAGCGACCCGTCATGTCCCGGGAAAATGACCATCCTCTCGGCAGAGTTGAACTTCCGGACGACGTGCCGCTGTCCGTGTTGCAGAATCCCAGGTCCACGGGTGTGCCCACAAGAACAGAGATTTTCTGGATTTGTTCGCCGCCTGTACTGTGTGTCCCCGCAGAGGTGCTGTTCGCTACAGTGAACCAGGCTTTCAAGCCGTCATAGACGTTCGTGTCACCGTTCTTGAGCGGGACGAATGCTTGGCAACTGATGGAATACTGATCACAGGGCTGCACGCGACAGTCGCTTGAGTCGGACAGACGCGGAGCGCGTAGTTGGTAGACGGGTTTAGGTTGGGCTATTTTCAGCGTCTTCTCGCCTCTGACAACCACTCCGAAAAAGAGGTAGAAAACATTTCTGTCGTAATCATGCTGCGCGGCCCAGCTGCTGCCGCTACCGCTTGTACTTCCTATGGGCTGAGATAGTGCCGGTATATGGCAGAAGGCAGATAGTGTCTCCTCCTCGAGTACGCGTGTTTTGCTGAGGACGACTGGACACGAACAATAGCCAGGAACACAAACACCATCGATTAATAGCAGTGCGACCACCACACCTCGACTCATATGGCTGAACGCTTCTTTGAAGCAGGTGCCATCCTGGGAAATGTTTTTAGATACAAGTGTCATGTAGATCTACATTGTGTTCTGTAGCCAGGGCTAGGGACAAGCCTGGCCTACTTCATACTTGTGCGGTGTGGGGTCTGCTAACCGCTGAACATTTGAGAGGACGCGCGCACTTAGCCTCAACGGCCAGGCTGGGCACAACACGGGCCGGAGTGCCACACAACTACAGTACACTAGTCTACACCAGGGAGTCGTAAAACTAAAAGCTTTTTACGACTCCCTGGCCTGGTCCACAGCGTGGTCTACAATATAGACGACATGCATTGCGTGGAGTAGATCTACCAAGAATATGCTCTCTGGGAGCTTATTATGCTCTTGGTAGTGCACCATAGCGGGAATTCCCAGAATCTCTGCTTGCAGAGATGATGAACAGATTATCAGTTGTCTGAGGATTGCCCTTGCTATAAGCCTATGTGCATGAAACGCAGCCGCGTTACACCCATCATAACCGGTTGTCACTGTTCTCTTCCTCAGTGGCACACTTGGTAGTACAATCATGTACAGCAAGTAGAATCGCCACAATGATTGAATGAATGACAGGTGACAAGTAGGAGCAACATGTCATCATGTACATGTACATGTACAAGTTCAAGTACATGAATGACATTGACAGTGTGTTTAAAATTATGAAGACTGAAGTCTTCACTGACTTCGGTTCTCTCTTTTTCTTTTCTTTTTGAATACAATGACACACGTTACAGTGCTGTGCAGTGTTAGGTCCTTGACCTTGTAGACATGTAGGACAATGCACGTACATGTACATTGTACATTGTATGTACTCTTGTGACGGCAGGTGCTCGTCAAACTACAATACTAGTCCATGAAACTAAGTTTTTTTTGCAGTAACACCACATACATGTACATATGTACATGTGACATGTATGTCATAGACACTATACTCGCATGCATGGCGGACAAATTTCTTCCTGGGGATTTGCGGGGAGCTTAGAACCAGGGAGTCGTATATATACGACTCCCTGCTTAGAACCTTCGGATTCGCAGACTCAGAGAAACAAAACGTGAACGCTAGAGTATTTGTAGTAAGTTGTACAAGAGCATTGGTGGGTATACATGATGGCGATGTATAACCCAGCATCCAGATTTATCTCATTACTGTTGTCTGACGATCGGTCTCGTACGTGAAACTCAGAGTTACAACCCTATCTTCATCCTCTTCTTGTTGTATTATCAAATGATGTTGTTTACGCTATTGTTTTATGGTATTGAGAACTACTGCAAGACATAGGCAACTTAGTTTTGTTGCAGCAAGGGTTGTGACATTACATGACCGATTGCACTATGATAGTATAGGCATGCACACTGCGGCCCAGGCTTACCCTTCCCTTGCCCGTCTCCATGGTCTCTGGACAGGTCAGCTCCGTGGACAGAGATCAGCACAGCAGCAAGTAGAAGGTATGTGCCAGGCATGGTGATGTGCCCAACGCCTGACCGATGCTTGGGCGGGGAAGACGATTGACTTTGAAACATAACGTTACTTCAAGTAGTTCGCAATTTCTGGAACTTTGAACCTTCCTATAAAGTGATGGTGGTGTCTCGTCTCTGCTAGATCAAGTGTTCTCAGCCTATGACGATATGACGAAATAACTGCTAGTTCGTTTTCTTGATCTTACTCTTAGGCAAGTCTATAGGATCTGGTTGTATTCAAGCCCTCTGCCTCTTTTTTAAAGTGGTAGAAGACGATAGGGAGGTTTCCCCATACTTGGTGGCGGGGGGAGCGGCCCCCTCCGATGCGCTTCACACCGATGTTTTCCTATGCACTGTAATCGTCACAATTCATTTCACTTTAGCGGGGCTAGATTAGCAAGGCTGGTATCATGTATTCGCCTAGTACTCATTCGTGGTACCAAGAATTTGTCCACCCAGATACAGATATAGACTGGATCAAGTTTTTGCTGCTACTGCATGCTCTGCCTCTGCAGTGCTCCCCTGAGCATGAAAGGCGCTGACTTCACGCCTTTGCAAATACATACACACAGTGTGGTGTAGCCTTGTAGGTTGTGTGGTCATCGCACCGCATCAGCACTATAGCAAGCCATGGATTGGCTTGGTCCGTCGATGTGAGGGGGAGACCCGCGCATTCGCACGTTTCCTGCAGCGTGGCGAGAAGAAGAAATCGTCCCCTCTCCCGAGCTTTGGCCCAGCTTGGCATACAAAGAACTCGAGACGATATGCACATAATAATAATTGATCTGCGAAGTCAGCTAAAATTCGAGTGAAAATGGCCGCAGCACCAGATCGCACACACGTCTCACACATGCCAGCAGAAAGCGCACTGGCGCACTCATACCCTGCACCACTAACAACAACACGGGAAATAGGCGCACACGAGTACCTGGCCTGGATCCGTTGAAATAATGATGTCATGATGTGTGACGGGGTCGGTGGAGTGTTATCTATGAGATACCCCTTACTGCTTAATTAGCATTATTTATTATGTCGAACTGCAAAGTGCACGTAGTATGGTACCTGTAAGTTGCGACCTCTGTAATTCATGGTACACGATGCCTAAAAACTGAAACTCGATCAATTACCTGGCACGGCACACTACATACTAGTAGTACATGCAGTGTACATGTAGTGCAATTCGGACACATCCAAACACAAGCACGTCTTCTATTCAGGGAAGTTCCTGTGCGCAGCTGTAGATTTCCACGACGGCATTATCGCCAGCTAAACGCGCTCTTTTTGCCAGGCACTTTAGTGACTTTACTCCGAGCCACTTTGTGCGTTATTATACTATGCACATGTAGGTATGTGCATGCGCCATCTCGTGCTTCTCTCTTTGCTCAAACTGTCCTATTACGGTAAAGGGACTGCTGAAATCCGCGAAAATGAGCTGACAGTGTCAGTGGGGAAGCTCGCGGTTGTCAAGTCAAGGCTCACCTCACACCCCTGTCCCTGTCCATGAGGAGTCCCAGGATCTCGCCTGTCACAATCCAACAGCTCTCTGCGAGTGCTCACGAGACTGTGGGCAAACAGGCACCGATCCGAAGGAAGAAAAACTACTTGGCTGCCTGCGTTGCGCAGTTGTGTCGGTTCGTGGAATGTGGTACGTGTGTGCAAGAGTACATAATTATTTTAAATGTACTCTTGGTGTGTGGAGTCTGGACTGGACACTGCACAGACTTGCGGTGCTCGGTCCTCGACATTCTCGGAAACGCTTGCAAGTGATTAGTTAGTGCATTGTACTTTGTAACTGCATGTGTGTGACTCGTTTAATGCATGACCTTCCTATCCAGCTCGATTCTCTATACAGTGTGTTATAGTCTAGAATGGTGTTACCTGTTGATGTGCTATTCCTGGTTCCCCACTGCCACTGGCCAACTCCAGCCACCAGGGCGGCGATCAAGTGATACATGTACCGTTGAACTAGCAAAGATAGCAGCACTGTATGCGCGCTAGTGGCTAGACATGGATCATGGACACTCCCAGAAATCAGCTCGGATCGCCGCCTCTTGGGACACGGTCTGGAGAACTCGAGCAGAGCAGCTGTGACAGGCCAAGTCCTGGGATTCGTGCTGCAATTGCAGCTGGGCAGGAGAGCATGAGCCTTGATTGGATAACCGCACGCTTTCCCACTGTCACGGTGCAAGGTCATTTTCGTGGATTTCAGCAGTCCCGCAGCTACACTGTAGGATAGACCTGTCATGACTGTAGAAAAACAACTAGAACTGAACAACACTACATGAGTACAAACATGTACATACCCGGGCTTCTTATCTTCTTCAGCAATCTCGATACGGAAGGAGAGTGTTGTCATCAACAGAAATGGGCACAGGTCATGGTGCATAGGTTTTCCAGGGCCATGTGGAAAATGTTGAGCCTGGCATATTCCCGCGTCACATGACTGTACTGGGTGGTCACCTAGAAGTTGAAGGATTGACCGGAGGCCAAGACAAACTTTAGACAAGGCGCTTGTTGACACATGTCACTTGACTGGCGCCGTGACAGAGCTGCATGATTTTACGACAGTCGAACGCTTGACAGATTCCCTTTGCGGATTACCGATAGCTCCAGTTGGACATGCATCATAATGTGCGTGCGGAACTGACAAGCGACATGTTTTTTAGTTTTTTAAATTCTTTATTTCCACGATGGCCCATGGCCAATAAGGAAGATTAGATAATATGATTCAAATCAGTCCAGAATCATATAAAATCAGTCTAGCAAGTAAGGAACCCAACACATTGCAGAGGGATGGGGTTACGATGGGCCAGGGGTGCAGTGTGAGCTACTACAGTATGACATTGTGCATCCCTGATCTACGTACGGTTGTACAATGACAATGTACATGTACGTGTACAAGGGTCAAGTGCTGTTGCCAGTCCCAGATATCCCCTGGTCTTATCTGATCAGTGAAAAGGAGCAATTACATGGGGCGCTGTAGGTGTATGGATACGGGCAAGAAGAACTCTATCGTTTACCGCAGAAATGTGTTGTCACAATTTCGACCAGCATGATACACGACCTCATTGAGCCTAGACTAGGGATTAAGTTCATTTTTTGCCTCCCACTCCCAGGTGCCGCAATGCTTGAGTGCTTTTCTTTCTTTGCATCATCATCATCATCATCATTTATAATATGCCGTCAATAAAAACACGCTTCCAGGCATGATGAGACACTGTAGCCTCCAGCAGAAAATTTCAGTTGTATTTTCGTTATCGAGAGTCAGGCAACCTGATTATGCATGGGCTGAAGAAATGGCCGTACATGTGTGTGTATGGTGAGTGAATAGAGTGTATTAGTCACCACGAATCGACCGCACTCCACACTGTTCAACCGACCAGGCGACCACTATCAACACAACACTCAACAGTCATCATACTGCTTTAAAAGATAGACTTGATAACAATCTGATCATTATCTAGCCTGTGACATGCTGTGTATACATACATGTACATGTAGCTCCGCTGCAGTGATTACACAAGCATAGCAGGTTTGGAGAAGACAATACGTCATGTAGTCACAATTATCATGTACTGCTCCCTGGATTAAACGTGCCAGGCTGCATGATTCATATCGCTGTTCCTACGTGTGTATCATAGGAAGTATTTGGAAAGGAACCCACGGCAGCAACTGATAGCCAAAATGGAAAATACAGTACATGTACGTCGATCCACTGCATGAGTTTGTCCAACGTGGTAACTAAAGAGGTTTACTGGATCTTCAGCCACATGCTTCTAATGTAAGATCAGCTCAGTGTGAGGAACGGCGTGTCAGGGCTACTGAGTACTGTCCCTTCATCTGGCAGGGTGGCCAAGGTGACTGAGTTAAACCTTCATCTGGCAGGGTGGCCAAGGTGACCGAGTTAAATTGGTGGTGTCTGTGTATACATGTATTATTTATATTGCTGTGTTCTGCTTCAAAATTACGTGCCTGTTGTATGGTGTGACACACCGTGACACAGTCATTCTACCAAGGAGGACAGCGCAGGGGTTACGTACTCCTGAATCCACCGGTGCGTCTTCCAGCTCAACGGAATCGGGACTACATAATTATGCTCTCCGACAAACTCGATACGAAAAAAACTCTGCGGACACCATGGAACCGGAGTTCAGTGTTTGCAGAGCTTTGGAAAAGTGCCTATCAGCTCCAGCCATTTCCTTGTGATACGAAACTGGGCGATGCCTCATTTCTTCGTTTATACTACACTGTACAACTATACCGTGGTGATGATGATAGACAGACAGGAGTGAAAACCCCCTTAGAAGCAGCTACAATTAAAGACAGGACATTACATGTACTCGGATATAGTGCATGACTGAAATACCAAGAGGCAAGAGTAAATTAATAATCTCCCTTGTATGTAATCAATTGGTGTGCTTCACTGTCCGAAGAGTGCTCAATACCCATGTAGGGCAGAGCCTTGTACACAAGACTAGAGACATTGGAAGCTTTGTCACAACTCTGAGTTTTACGCTGCCTGATGATCGTAGTAATACGTGAAACTCAGAGTTGTAACAAAGCTCCAATCTCTCTCTTGTGTATATCTCCCTTGTACCCTTTCTTCGTACATATACGTCATGTACATGTGGTGAGGTTTCGTGTGCAAGACTAACACTGCCTGTAGTGTTGGCACGCTGTATCGGTCTACATACCGGTACTAGTAGCAAGAGTATTATAACCCCCCTGGGACCCAGATTATACTCTTGAATAGTAGTTTTAGGGTACAAATGTCATGTACATCTACCATCTTTTCTTCCGCAGTACTTTATTTTATGATAATTCCAGACTGAGCATTTGTTCCGGCAGAGAACCTTGCATAGTGTTAGGTAAAGTCGGGCACTTGCTTACCTTAGCGCAAACACGAGATGCACATACGCAATACACAATACCGTGGCAATGTAGAGTCTACATGTACAAGAAGTGCAGCAAATAGGAAACATGTAGGTGACGAAGTCGTTACTTCCGAGATGGCCTTTCCGTAGATTCTACGTTCCCCGTTACTCGTTGAGCGAGAAATCATGTGTTCTGTGATGAATTCAGGAAGTAACCAAACTACTGAACTAGAGCTCAGAGACATACTGTAGCCGTGTGACGGAAACGTATACACAAAACACGCGTGTGCCCACAACAGACACACACACACACACACACACAAACACACACCACACACATACACACATACAGGCACGCATACACACGCGCGGGGCCGCGGGCACACCACTACCACCCGGGCATGTACAGTGTTTGCATTATTTTGTATTAATGATTATTGTGTAGCCAAGAGTAACAGGGCGCCGGCGCCACGCGTCTGGTCAAGTTGTAACAAACAGTTTCGTGCCAGATCATGACGATAATATAGCAATGAGACTTGCACCATTGCCATTGGGTCCCCAGGTTCACAGACTAGGTGAAAAGAAGAAAAAACAGTACGATCACGTCGCGATGTAATACATGTACATGTACATGGAACGATGACAACCGAGAGTCCAGGATGGGGACTTAGTCTTAGACTTAGGTACCCGGTA